GCGACTGAAGTGCAGCTCCAGTGAAATGCAGCCACCTCTGGGCAGAACAGGGGGCAGCCAAGCAGATCGCAGCACAAAGCCAAACATTTCCCTTCCCCTCACTAGGGCACAAAGGCCAAAAAAGCAGATTCCTGAAGATCTTTAACATTTCTTAAGAACAGGCAGGACCAGGATGTAAAATCCACTTCCCTCCCCTCCCCAGATGCTGCTGCATACTATACCTTATATTTATGCTGGATGGATGAAAGGCTGATTCACCAGAGGTTCCAGGGACAAGCAGATATTCCAAGCAAAATGCTTAGACCCCCCCCCCCTTACCCCTCTGAGCTGTACTTGTAATCAAACCCCAAGACCAGTCTTGACCTCCATTGTCTTTATCTAGGCACGAGGTTAGTTCAGCTGAAGCCCCTCCACACACGGGTTTGCGAATCCCATCCCCTTCCTTGTGGGGCAATGCTCGGACTCATGTGTAGCTTCCCCCTTCCAACCATGAACCAACCGCAAACTGGAAGCAGGGCCAAGCCGGCTGCCCGAGGCTGCTGCCAATGCCCCACCATTAGCTGGCTGGGGAAAACGCTTGTATCATCACCAGCCAAACACTCTCCACCTCCCCTCCCCTCCCCGTCCGAGCTCCAGTACGGTACGGACACGCCCCACGTGGGACCGCAGGCTGCTTCCCTGCAGCACGCCCCAGCGCTATGGCGCGGGAAGGCACTCAACGCAGGAGCCAGCTTCACCACTTCATGCCAGCTCAGGGCTCCCCTGCCCCAGAGGAATTCTCAGCTGGCCCCTTGCTGGTGCAAAACGGCCAGAACAGGAGAGGTGATTCTGGGGTGGGGGCTTTGTATTTCGGGGGCGGTACCCAATTTTCTCAGGTTCTCATTTATTCCTAGAGTCCAAGGCCAGAAGGGGCCACTGTCTTGTAGTCTCAAAAAGAAAAGGCGTACTTGTGGCACCTTAGCTACAGCTTCATCGGATGCTCACGAAAGCTCACGCTCAAATAAATGGGTTCGTCTCTAAGGTGCCACAGGCCTCCTGTTCTTTTGGCGAATACAGACTAACCCGGCTGCTGACGAACACTCAAACACAGACTGACGCTCTGAAACCAGTCTGGTAGTCTGACCTTCTAGAACCTCTAGTTAGCCGCTTTCCCTCTGACCTCCCTGGTAGGGTGATCATATTTTCCCAAAGGGAAAACGGGATATCCCCAGGCTGGCCTGAGCTCCTCCCTTTCCCACTCAGGGCTGGGTTGAAGTCCCCCTCCCCCTGAGCCAGCCTCAGCCCCCAGACTGCCTGAGACCTCCAACCTCCCACCCACACAGAGCCAACCTGAGGACCCCTTTGCAACTAGCACGGGGGCCGGCCTGAGCCCCCCCACCGCATACAGGCCTGGCCCTCCAAGCCAGCCTGCTGCCCACGAGCCCCCTCCCGTCCCTGTGGCCCCCTTTCATCCTGCCTGTAGGGCTGGTGGTCCAAGTTCCCTTGCTGCCTGCCCGCAGGGCCAGCTGGCCCAAGCTGCTCTCCCTAGCCCTCCCTCCAGTGCGGGGCTGGTGTTGCCAATTGCTGCCCCCCCCATTCCTCTGTGCCCCGCCAGGGTCCCACCCCACAATAGTTGGCAAGAGCAAACGGGACAAATGCCCAGTTTTGTCAAAAAAGTTGGGACAGCCGGAACAGGGCCTAAAAAAGGGACTGTCCTGGCCAAAACAGGGCGTATGGTCATCCTACTCCCCAATAATAAAGATTATGCCCTGTTGCATCTGTGCAACTCCATTGCCTTCATGTCATACCATTGCGGACACCTCTGCAAGCCCTGGGCATTGCGGTGCTCCAGCGGAGGGAGGGAAGTGGAGCTTAGCGAATAGCTGGTGACACATGGAGGATCAGACTCGCTCCCTGAGCCCCCTGGGCTCTGCAAGGGGAACATCAGTAAAACCTCCCAAGTGACCCTCACAGGGAGCAGGGCTGCCGAAGCAGCAACCCATTAACTCATCCAGTGCTGTGCGGACACACTTCCAAGCCACAGTGAATATACCCAATGCACACCCCTTCTCCTCGTCCAGATATCTGTGATCATGGGTCAGACGTACGAACACACGATTACCACTGGAAATCTGGCCTTTATAGTGTACTCGGGCATTGTGCAGACTCTGAGCCTACAGCCTCCTGTTAGTGGCTCTTTTGAATGGCCTGGATGAGTTTTCCTGTGGTCTAGGACGGTTCAGTTTTGCTGAGTTCCCACTAGCTCTCCAAAGGCACGTTCCCTCTGAAAGCCAAGGCCAAGGAAGGGTCAGCCAAACAGCACTGGGCAAACACCCAGGATCTTCTTACAAACATTTCCACTGAGCTGCAGCTTTGCAAACCTTCCATTTGCAGCATTTGGATTTGGGGAATTAATTTAATGCTCACAAAGGGGATGGATTAATATCCCTGCCTTTACCTTGCCAACACCCACCAGCCAATACCAACTATTCTAGCTCATGAGTCCAGCCCCTCCCCCCATCCCAAATCATACTTAAAAATTGTGAGATTGACAAAAAGTTGTGGGTTCTTTTCAATGCCAGCTAATTTTGCGCCTGTAGTGATCACATTTTCAAGATTTCCCCCTTGTGCTGAGAAGCTGAAACACTAAGTGCTAGACATTTTCATTTCAGGAGAGAGGTAAACTGAGATTCTCAGATGATCTTCTGACTCCAGGAGCTAAGGCTTTAAGAACATCAAATATCACTCGGGTCACATTGAAAGTCACAAGACTAGGCAACGCTGTCCTGAAGTAGGCCTAACGGGCTGGTGTTATGTGTAACGGGACTGTTGCCCCCTTACTAACATTCAGTGGGGGTGTTTTGGTTGCTAGCTCCCAGTACTCAAAGGGGGAAGGGTCGATGGGAAATCAGGACCCTGAGACTGTCAGACCCCAGGAACAATGGAGAGAGGCCAACGCTCCAGGTCAGCCCGAATGACAGGGCGGGCAGGCTAATCAGGGAGTCAGGAGGCCAGGGGGGTCCCCTCCTCCGTGTGTGCAGGAATTGCCTGGGTCAGACAGAGTGGGGCCAAGCTAAGGAGAAAGCAGGGACCCGAGCTGAGCTGGGGAGCAGAGCTGAGCCAGATCCAGAGGGACCAGAAAAGCAGCCCAGGAAGCAGGTCAGAGTTGGGAGCAGTCACAGATGCAGCCCAGGGGGAGCAGATCCTGTGCTGCAGGGCCTAAAAAAGGGTTGAAGACTGAGACAGCCTCAGAGCCAGGTGTGGTGAGCAACTGGGGCCAGCCAAGGGGGGACCCTGGGCAATGGGCCCAGCGCAGAAAGACACCCCCAGCCAAGCGTCCTTGCAGGCCAGACTGGGAGGGGGATCTTAACTCGACGTGGGGCTGATGGTGGGAAGAAGGGTCCAACCGCCCAAAGCCTGGAGGGGTCTGGCCATTGCAAGTGTTCAACCCGCAGCATCCCTGCAGCACAGCCAGGGCTGGAGAAGGAGGCCTGGGACCTACAAGGAACAGACTGTGAACTGCCCTGACGTCTAGAGACACTGTTTGTGATGTTCCCTGCCACAGGGCGAGGTGATGTGTTTCCTTTAACCTTTCCCATTTTTCCTTGTTCTTTTTTTAAATTGTTAATTAAACAACTTGTATTTGCTTTAAATTGTATGAAATGATCAGGGAAGTGCCCAGTGCAGAGAGAGTATCCCGGAGTGGGGACACCCTAGCCCCTATCCTAGGTGACCACAGCAGGGTTGGGGGTCGAGCCCCCCAGGAATCCTGGGCCCAGCCTTGTTGGGGTTACGAGGACTCTGCCAGACAGGAGGGTGGAAGGGGAGTCCTCAAGGGCAGGGAGGCCTCTGGGTAAAGGAAGTGGGAGCGAGGACTCAGATCCTTTCGCTAGCCCACCTCACCGGGGTCGTGCAGAAGCCAGGAAAGTTCCCCCCAATAGCAGGACCACTCCCCCGCTTACATACACAAAGCATTCCTGAATATCACTGCGGCCTAGGCCCACTGCCGAGACTCTTAAGCAACAACAAGTGCCCATCATGCAGAGTTGTGCCAAAGGATGAGGTGAGCTTTCCCGACTGCATGAACCAGGAGTGAAATGAAATCACCAGAATCAGTGCACTCACGTGCCGTCCAGGTCAGCAGGCTGAACCCAACACATATGCCACTAGAAGGGACTACCAAGACCGGGCAATTTCAGAACAGGTGCAAGCTCAATTCAGACCTCCAAAAGCTGCTGCCAATGCTGCACCAGGCCCAAATCTGGCCACCTGTTTAGCTCATGAGTTTCCTTAGATTGTTAACAACCACCTGACAGCCCACAGGTGGGAACCAGCGGGTGTTCGACTGTTCAGGTAAAAAACCAGAAACTGTTCTATCGTTGCGGTAACACCCAGTGCTATCGGGCCAGTAACACCACAGGTGGATCTTGGGGAATTGCTCTAGCGTTGTCTGAATTTTCACACACACTCCTCTTCCTCGGGGGCTTTACAGGAACCTTCCAAGAGTGATGAATTATCTGATCGTTTTCTCCGGCCAGAAAAATGCAAGAGGAGCAGCTGAGTAATACAAATGTCTGCAGCACACGTAGTCATTTCTCCGCCAAAGTGCCTCTCATTTTTAAAAGTCAAATATTGTAAGTCTGTCTAGTATTTAAATGCAAATACCAGCGAGGGGTGGGGGGATGGGGAATGCAAATGATTTTATAGCTTGGAAAAAAATTAAACCTATGCAGATATTTGACTGTCAAGTTGCAGCCCCGCTCTGGTTTTGATGAGCTGCTTTCAAGGAGGGAAGTAGAACTTGGCTGAGAATTTGATGAAGGTACAAAGCTTCACGGACAGTTTCCTAGATATTGATTTTGTTTCCGTCAGGCACGCCAGGGATGGGAGGGGGGCTAATGGGTCAACCAGCTGCTGGAGGAAGAGATCATCCAGTGGGAACCCAGAGAGGTTCCACGCACCAAGACAGTCCTATGACGGAGGCAACTTCCCAGGAAACAGAGCATATCGAGACCTCTCCGGAGTGTTCAAACAACAGCTTTAATTGTAATATATTTCCCAAAGAGTTTTTAAAAACATTAGCTGTTAAGTACAATAAGCAATTGCTGTCCATACCAAAGTAATGCAACGTCCAGCCCAAGGCTCCACGGCAGGGCCTGACAGTGGTGGGTGACAGGCATCTGAATGGACACGTGGATTTTAGTGTGTGAAGGGAGGTGGATTTTTAAATTAAGGGGGGGCGGGGGGGGAGAAGTCACGCAGTGATTACACCGACTCATTCCAAACCATTGCAGTTGTTTGGGCTCAAATGATTCTCCGGGAGGGGGAAGAACAGACTAGGCTGGGGTAGAATGGTGGGTTTTTGCTTCCGTTGAAATGTCCAGCTGGGCGTACAGGACCTGAGGTAGTCAGAAAATCTGGGAAAACAAAACTAGCCAGTAATTTCCCACCTTGTAAGAATCCCAGGAGGCTAAAGCATCTGCCCGGTAGATTAAACGCTGCTGTTAGAGTGATACGGCCACCCTGCTTCCCCACTGTCTTCATCTGAAGTAGGTTAGACCCTAATTCTCCAACTAGATCCCCGTGCAAAGCCCCTGTTGAAGCCATTCAGCAAGCTCTGCCCAGGTCTCTGCAGACCCATCATGGCCTTTTAAACAGCTAGCTTGGTGAAGAACACAACAAGTCTGTGCTTTGAACAACTACTTACAAGCCCTCTGCTGATGCACATGGCGTCATTTGGCAGAGTGAACTCTTCAGGCAGGTCTGCTCTCTGTGGCCAGTCAGAGGCTTTTGGAATGCACTGAACTTCAGCTTCCGTTACACAAGGATTCCAGCATGTCCACGCAGCGTTCAGGTTGGTGCATGAAAAAATATTTAAGGTGGTCTGTCCCTTTCAACAGCAACAAAAAAAGGAGCACGCATGTGAGCGTCACTGCCTGCCAGGTTTTAACTCTGTGCTATGATAAGTTGCATAGGAAATGCCTTAAAGCCCCTGAGGAGAAAATCCATGAAATTAAGGTGCTATTCTTCATTAGTGGGAGACTTGTTTCGAAGGGAAATTCTTTCAGGGTAACATTTGGAGGGGAAATTCGAGGCACAGTCTCTATTAAACTGTGTCTCCGTTCTTTGGAGGAGCGGGGTTCCCAGAAGCCACACGTGTCTCACTTGTCGCTCTACTCTCGGGAGATTCTGGCAGCGCCTGCCTGGACACACAAGTCACTTGGGGTCACAAGAATACTTCTAAGGTCTGCCTGTAGTGTGGTGCAGGCAGACTGCACCAAGCAGTTTTTATTTTAGACACTGGATGAGACGGTCCTGTGAGGCCAGTCAGCAAAAACCTGTTCAGAGCAAACCCACTGGTGGATGGATGACTGACACCAGCTGTTGCCTCCTCTACAGGAACTTGACAATGGAGAAAAAGAATTGCGCCATTATCTCCTGGAAACCTGCGATCGTGGATCCGTCAATACAAGACCACGATGCTTCTAGCGAGGTCACACCAACCTCTCACTCGTCGATATAAAACTCAAGGAATAAAAATAGACTTCCAATCTCGGTGATCAACCCAACAAAAACAGGTTTAATAGGGAACATTTTCACCAGTTTTTCACTGCGTGGGGCATTGTTATTTTATGTGATTTCACACTCAAAATAAACGTCTTCGTTCTGTGCAAAAATATGTTTTCCCTCCGTGTGAAACATTTCAGAGGTGGAGGGAGAGAGGATCATTCAAAAGGGAGGTGGCTGTTCACAGAAGGGGTAAGATTTCAGCTCAGTGTAACCATTTCTCTGACCGAGGATTATTTACATGGCAGACTGGAGGTCAGTAGCCTTGAGGGGCCCAATCCAAAGCTCAGGGAAGTCACTGGTAGTCTCACCACCAACTTGAATGGTCTTTGGATCAAACCCTAAAACTTCAAGAGCCTGACTGAAATGGCACCTAAGTCAACATAACAACTCCCACCGACTCCAATGAGCTTTGGATCAGATCCCAACTTAGCAAAGACATTTTTTAAAATGACATTAATACAGCTCTTCCCTCCTGACCACTTCTGGAGCATGCAGGTCCCCAGCAGAGATCACCAAGATGCTCTTATTGCAGTACAGAGCAGTCAGTAGAGAGCAAAGTTACCTTCAAGGAGACTGGCAGCTTTGTAGTTAATGTCCCTAAAAAAGATAAAGAGGGAAGAAAGGGAGGGAACGCCGCTGAACCAGAAATCTTTCCGGCTCCTTCCAGAATTCTAATTGTAGCAGCAAGCAGGAGGGATGCCCCCCTTTGCCTGAGTGCTAAGGCAGCACTGACTTCAAGTTAAGAACTGCAGTGGTACATTTGAAAAATAGGTATTGTGTATTTCCAGATCCAGGCATTAGAAAAAGTGTATATATAAAAACACAGATCAGAGAGAGCTACTGGGAAAACAAGTACAACTGCTTTTCTTTGTAACACTTTCTCAGGGCTGCAGGAGGTTGAGAGTTACTGCAATGGTGAATATAAAACAGTGATTCCAGAGTCTCACACTATAGAAAACCTTATAAGGGGTGGGGGGGTTGAGGGAAGGGAAAGGAGAAATTCACAATGTGCTTTGTTTTAAATACATATTTACATGATTCATGGTCAATTTCAGAAGTGATCATTTAAAAAAGTTCCTACACAATGTAAAAATGCAACATTTCTCCCATCAAAGTGGTTTCAACCTTTGTTGCTCATTACAAAATTAGATATTTATTTGCAAACGTCTAAAAAATAAGTGTGGGGTTCCCCCCCACTGTTAAACTTTACAAATAGAAAGTGGTGTAACTGGTATCAACCCCCCAGCAGAGAAAACCCAGCTCTTCTGGACTCTTTCTACATGAGGGAGAACACTCAAAAGAGGTCCCGCTTCACGGTGCGATTCCAGTCCCAGTGCGAACATGCAAACTTTGGCCTTTTGTCAGCTCCCACCTGTTTTTTGTCCTTGGCTAAAACCAGGAAGATTTAAACATGTCAGGAATCCCCGCCATCAGATGGCAAAATCTTCATGGTCTGGAGGGCTAAAGGCGGCTGCACGGAGTATGTCCAAGGAATTGACTAAGATCAGGGTTCCTGTTAAATGTTTCCAGCGCTTGGTGATGGGGTTCTTCATCTTATCCAGCCCTATGTGCAGCTCTTGGATGACATCTCGGTAGCTATCTCCAATCTGGTTGCTCCAGGTTAGCAGAAAGTCGTAGGCTGGTTTCCACATGGCCTGTGTTCCATGCCGGAGAGACAAAAAGAGAAAGCAAACCCCAACAGAATTGAGAGATCTGTTCTTGTTACTTAGACTAGACACTGCTCTGCTACAGAAACGAAGCAGTTTGCTGGGAATTTCTGTGGCTGCTTCGGGGCACAGGGATGGCAATACTAGAAGAGGCTCTGGCCCAGCTGAATGCTTTGGAGAACACACAACACTGGAGCGGGATATTTGCCCATCCCGCAAAGGGCTTACGTCCATCCCGATTCATAGGGCCCTACCAAATTCACGGTCCATTCTGGTCATTTTCATGGTCATAGGATTTTAAAAGTTGTAAAATCATGCTTTCAGCTATTTCAATCTGAAATTTCAGGAGACTAATTGTAGGGGTCCTGACCCTGAAATGAGTTGTGTGGTGGGAGTCGCAAGGTTAGTGTATGGGGCTTTGCGGTACCTGCTATCCTTACTTCTGAGCTGCTGGTGCTGCCTTCAGAGCTGGCAGCTGGAGAGCAGTGGCTGCAGGCCGGGAGCCCAGCTCTGAAGGCAGAGCCACTGCCAGCAGCAATGTAGGACGGCCGGCCTGGTGTGGGACAGCCACCCTTACTTCTGCGCTGCTGCCTGCAGAGCTGGGCCCTCAGTCAGCAGCCGCCGCTCTCCGGCCACCCGGTTCTGAAGGCAGCAGTGCAGAACGTTGGCAATACCGCCCCCCCCGCCCCCGCCTAAAATAACCTTGTGACCCCTCACAACTCCCTTTTGGGTCAGGACACACAATTTGAGAAACTCTGGTCTCCCCCCGTGAAATCTGTATAGTATAGGGTAAAAGCACACAAAAGACCAGATTTCACGGTCTGTGATGCGTTGTTCACAGCTGTGAATTTGGTAGGGCCCTACCTATTCAGCAAGGGACTTGCACACATTCAGCTTCAAGCAAGTGTTTAAATTAGGGCTGTCAAGCAATTAAAAAAATTAATCGCATGATTAATCGCACTGTTAATAGAATATCATTTATTTAAATATTTATGGATGTTTTCTTCATTTTCAAATATATTGATTTGAATTACAAAGAACACAAAGCGTACAGTACTCACTTTATATTTATTTTTTATTACAAATATTTGTGCTATAAAAACAAAAGAATTCACCTCATACTGTACTGTAATACAATCTCTTTATCATGAAAGTTGAACTTACAGATGTAGAATTATGTACAAAAAAACTGCATTTAAAAATAAAACAATGTAAAACTTTAGAGTCTACAAAAGTCCATTCAGTCCTACTTCTTGTTCAGTCAGTCACTCAGACAAACAAGTTTGTTTACATTTGCAGGAGATAATGCTGCCCGCTTCTTGTTTACAATGTCACCTGAAAGTGAGAACAGGTGTTCACATGGCACTGTTTTAGCCAGCATCACAAGATATTTATATGCTAGATTCGCTAAAGATACATATGTCCCTTCATGCTTCGCAACCACTATTCTAAAGGGCATGCTTCCATGCTAATGAGACATTCTGCTCAATAACAATCCAAAACAGTGCAGATGGACGCATGTTCGTTTTCATCATCATGAGTCAGATGCCACCAGCAGAAGGTTGATTTTCTTTTTTGGTGGTTCGGGTTCTGTGGTTTCCGCGTAGAAGTGTTGCTCTTTTAAGACTTCTGAGCACATGCTCCGTACCTCATCATCCCTCTCAGATTTTGGACAGCACTTCAGATTCTTAAACCTTGGGTTGAGTGCTGTATCTATCTTTAGAAATCTCACATTGGTATCTTCTTTGCGTTTTGTGAAATCTGCAGTGAAAGTGTTCTTAAAATGAACAACATGCGCTGGGTCATCATCTGAGACTGCTAGAACATGAAAAATATGGCACAGTGCAGCTAAAACAGAGCAGGAGATTGACTGAACTCCTTGGGGTAGAATAGTATAATTTAATTAACACTTTTTTTGTTTTTAACGAGTATCATCAGCATGGAAGCAGGTCCTCGGAATGGTGGCTGAAGCATGAAGGGACGTACAAATGTTTAGCATATCTGGCACATAAACTTGCAATGCCAGCTACAAACATGCAGTGCGAACGCCTGTTGTCACTTTCAGGTGACATTGTAAATAAGAAGCAGGAGGTATTATGTCCCGTAAATGTAAACAAACTTGTTTGTCTTATCAGTTGGCTGAACAAGAAGTAGGACTGAGTGGACTTGTAAGCTCTAAAGTTTTACATTGTTTTGTTTTTGAGTGCAGTTATGTTTATAACAAAAAAAATCTGCATTTGTAAGTTCCACTTTCACAACAGAAAGAAAAGGAGTACTTGTGGCACCTTAGAGACTAACAAATTTATTTGAGCATGAGCTTTTGTGGGCTACAGCCCACTTCATCAGATGCATAGATGGAACATATAGAAAGAAGAAATATATACATACAGAGAACATGAAAAGGTGGAAGTTGCCATACCAACTCTAAGAGGCTAATTAATTAAGATGAGCTATTATCAGCAGGAGAAAAAAAAACTTTTGTAATGGTTATCAAGATGGCCCATTTCAGACAGTTGACAAGAAGGTATGAGGATACTTAATAGACTCACAGAATATCAGGGTCGGAAGGGACTTCAGGAGGTCATCTAGTCCAACTCCCTGATCAAAGCAGGACCAATCCCCAATTAAATCATCCCAGCCAGGGCTTTTTCAAGCCTGACCTTAAAAACCTTCAAAGGAAGAAGATTCCACCACCTCCCTAGATAACGCATTCCAGTTCTTCACCACCCTCCTAGTGAAAAAGTTTTTCCTAATATCCAACCTAAATCTCCCCCACTGCAACTTGAGACCATTACTCCTTGTTCGGTCATCTGCTAGCACTCAGAACAGTCTAGATCCATCCTCTTTGGTACCCCCTTTCAGGTAGTTGAAAGCAGCTATCAAATCCCCCTTCATTCTTCTCTTCCGCAGACTAAACAATCCCAGTTCCCTCAGCTTCTCCTCATAAGTCATGTGTTCCAGACCCCTAATCATTTTTGTTGCCCTTCGCTGGACTCTCTCCAATTTTTCCACATCCTTCTTGTAGTGTGGGGCCCAAAACTGGACACAGTACTCCAGATGAGGCCTCACCAATCTCGAATAGAGGGGAACGATCACGTCCCTCGATCTGCTCGCTATGCCCCTACTTATACATCCCAAAATGCCATTGGCCTTCTTGGCAACAAGGGCACACTGTTGACTCATATCGAGCTTCTTGTCCACTGTAACCCCTAGGTTCTTTTCTGCAGAACTGCTGCCGAGCCATTTGGTCCCTAGTCTGTAGCGGTGCATGGGATTCTTCTGTCCTAAATGCAGGACTCTGCACTTGTCCTTGTTGAACCTCATCAGATTTCTTTTGGCCCAATCCTCCAATTTGTCTAGGTCCCTCTGTATCCTATCCCTACCCTCCAGCGTATCTACCTCTCCTCCCAGTTTAGTGTCATCTGCAAACTTGCTGAGGGTGCAATCCACGCCATCCTCCAGATCATTAATGAAGATATTGAACAAAACAGGCCCGAGGACCAACCCTTGGGGCACTCCGCTTGATACCGGCTGCCAACTAGACATGAAGCCATTGATCACTACCCGTTGAGCCCGATGATGTAGCCAGCTTTCTATCCATCTTCTAGTCCATTCATCCAGCCCATACTTCTTTAACTTGCTGGCAAGATGTGGCAAAATAGATTCAAAACACGGGAAAATAGATTCAATTGATTCATCTTGATCATCACTACAAAAGTTTTTTTTCTCCTGCTGATAATAGCTCATCTTAATTAATTAGCCTCTTACAGTTGGTATGGCTACTTCCACCTTTTCATGTTCTCTGTATGTATATATATATCTTCTTACTATATGTTCCATTCTATGCATCTGATGAAGTGAGCTGTAGCTCATGAAAGCTTATGCTCAAATGAATTGGTTAGTCTCTAAGGTGCCACAAGTACTCCTGTTCTTTTTGCGGATACAGACGAACACGGCTGCTACTCTGAAATCTTTCAGAACAGAGATTGCACACTACAATACTTGTATGAGATGAACTGAAAAATACTATTTCTTTGGTTTATTTTACAGTGCAAATATTTGTAATAAAAATAATATAAAGTGAGCACTGTACACCTTGTATTCTGTGTTGTAATAGAAATCAATATATTTGAAAAAGTAGAAAAAAATCCAAAACATTTAATACATTTCAATTGGTATTCTATTGCTGAATTTTTTTTAATCACAATTTTTTTTTTTGAGTTAATTGTGTGAGTTAACTGCGATTACTCGACAGCCCTGGTTTAAATGCTATCAACTTCAGTGAGGCTCAAGCCTGTGCTTTGCTGAATCAGGGCCCAAGTCCAGAGTCGGGCTGTTTGCTCATCAGCTCGTGATGCTTCATAGCAAGGCGACCCTGCTGCTGCCAGAACCCTGCAGCACGCCCAGCCAAGCTGTGCAAAGCTGGACCCGTGGGGAAGAGGATGACTGCTAGAGGCCTGCCGTGGTCAGATCTCAGCCCAGCATACTGATCCCTATTTCCCCTAACAAAATGTGAACAATGAACCCAACAAGAGCCCCCGGTTTGGGGAAAAACCTCAGCTCAAGCCAGAGGGCAGCATAAGAGAGTGGGTCAAAAGTTATTCAAACTGAAGTGACCCCAGGATTTCAGTCAGTCATTGAGGTGCTATTTCTTTTTAAAGGAGCAGCAGAGAGATGATTGAAACTGACCAGCGTCCAGCCCACCCCAAACCAAAACCACCCTGTGAGATGTGAGTACTGAGTCTACACTGGTGGGTTCATTGCTCCACTCCCATAGAGGTGTGTGTGTGTGGGGGGGGGGTGTGAGTGTCAATCAGGGCATCACAAGTCATCAGCAGGAACACACTGTGATTTGCCTCCCTTTCAGAAAGGGAAAATTGGACAATTGTGAAGAGGAAACACTCGCTCCCCCTGCAGGCAGCTTCTCAGACTCAAAGACCAATGGAGCTTCTTCTCTAGGGGCCACTTTCAGGCATACTTACCTCTCCCGATGGGAAGGAACCTTGCTCTGGCTTGCCATCGCCAAAGGAGCGTTCTTATTTGCTGACACCTCAGCCAAAAAAACAAAAAAGGCAGCCGAAACCAGGCTATTGCACACCACTAGTCACACTGCAGGGCTTTAAGGGATTTTAAAATCTAGTCTCACCTCACTGTCCACCACTCCATTCCTGTCTCGGTGGGGGGCTTCATAGGCATCCATCTGTTGTTTGGAGACCTTGGCTAGCTTCTCTGCCAGCTCCCTCCAGCGCTGAGCCACTTCCACGGCCGTGGTCAGGAGCACAAAGTCCTGAATGAGCCTGACGACCAGCCCCTGGCAGTCCATTTTCAGCAAGGCCTGAGAGAAGACAGAGCAAACCAAGTAAAGGTCAGCTACAGTCCCAGGGTTTCATCTTCTAGTAGCCACAGACTGTGTTCTCCTGGCACTCTAGCCTAGCAACGGCTGAGAACAGTGACAACTCATTTCTACAATGACAGCAGCACTTCCTTCTTTGCTCTCAAACACGGAGGTGATAAAGCCTGTGAGAGAAGGAAGCCAAGGCCATCCATACCAAAATCCAACTCAGTCTCCCCTTCTCTGAAACCCAGCAGCAAGGCAAATCTTGCATTCCCCTTTCTGGCTGCATGGCTGGTTAAACAACCCCATCTGTGTACATAGGGAAATCTCTTTAATCATTAACTCCCCTCCCCCATACAACAGGTGGTGAAATACGGTCACTGGACCTGCCGGAAGAATTATCTCATTAAGTGGTTTCAGAGTAGCAGCCGTGTCATTATGCAAGGCACTGCATTTAGCCGTATGGAGTGGAAATCTATCAACTTCATGAACAAACTTGTACAGATACAGACAGACATCATCTTCCTTTCCAAATGCAAACAGATGGACATCGTACCAAAAGGACTGAAGGTAAAAAATCCATTACAATCTACATACCACACAGACTATGCTGACAGCTTGCGTCACACGCTCTCAAAGAAACTACGGAACCACCGGATCAACATCCTCTACAGCAAACAGGGAAAGATTAAGAATGAGCTCTCAAAACTGGATACTCTCATAAAAAAACAACCTTTGACACAAACTTCCTCGTGGCTGGACTTTACTAAAACTAGACAAGCCATTTACAACACAAACTTTGCTTCTCTACAAAAGAAAAAGGACACTAAATTATCTAAATTACTACATGCCACAAGGGGCCACAGCAATGGTTTCCTTAACCCACCCAGCAATATTGTTAATCTATCCAACGATACTCTTAACCCAGCAGAAGAATCTGTCCTATCTCGGGGCCTCTCCTTCTGCCCCTCCACTCCCACGAACATGATACAGTTCTGTGGTGACCTAGAATCCTATTTTCGACGTCTCCACCTCAAGGAATATTCCCAACACACCTCTGAACAACTAATCCACAGAGACCTTCCTACCAACGCTACAAAAAGAAGGATTCTAGGTGGACTCCTCCTGAAAGTCGAAACAGCAGACTGGACTTCTACATAGAGTGCTTCCGCCGATGTGCATGGGCTGAAATTGTGGAAAAGCAGCATCACTTGCCCCATAACCTCAGCCGTGCGGAACACAATGCCATCCACAGCCTCAGAAACAACTCTGACATCATAATCAAAAAGGCTGACAAAAGAGGTGCTGTTGTCATCATGAATAAGTCGGAATATGAACAAGAGGCTGCTCAGCAGCTCTCCAACACCACTTTCTACAAGCCATTACCCTCTGATCCCACTGAGAGTTACCAAAAGAAACTACAGCATTTGCTCAAGAAACTCCCTGAAAAAGCACAAGAACAAATCCGCACAGACGCACCCCTGGAACCCCGACCTAGGTTATTCTATCTGTTACCCAAGATCCATAAACCTAGAAATCGTGGGCGCCCCATCATCTCAGGCATTGGCACCCTGACAGCAAGATTGTCTGGCTATGTAGACTCCCTCCTCAGGCCCTACGCTACCAGCACTCCCAGCTACCTTCGAGACACCACTGACTTCCTGAGGAAACTACAATCCATCAGTGATCTTCCTGATAACACCATCCTGGCCACTATGGATGTAGAAGCCCTCTACACCAACATTCCACACAAAGATGGACTACAAGCCGTCAAGAACACTATCCCCGATAATGTCACGGCTAACCTGGTGGCTGAACTTTGTGACTTTGTCCTTACCCATAACTATTTTACATTTGGGGACAATGTGTACCTTCAAATCAGCGGCACTGCTATGGGTACCCGCATGGCCCCACAGTATGCCAACATTTTTATGGCTGACTTAGAACAACGCTTCCTCAGCTCTCATCCCCTAATGCCCCTACTCTACTTGCGCTATATTGATGACATCTTCATCATCTGGACCCATGGAAAAGAAGCCCTTGAGGAACTCCACCATGATTTCAACAATTTCCTTCCCACCATCAACCTCAGCCTGGACCAGTCCACACAAGAGATCCACTTCCTGGACACTACAGTGCTAATAAGTGATGGTCACATAAACTCTACCCTATACCGGAAACCTACTGACTGCTATTCCTACCTACATGCCTCCAGCTTTCACCCAGACCACACCACACAATCCATTGTCTACAGCCAAGCTCTACGATACAACCGCATTTGCTCCAACCCCTCAGACAGAGACAAACACCTACAAGATCTCTACCAAGCATTCTTACAACTACAATACCCACCTGCGGAAGTGAAGAAACAGACTGACAGAGCCAGAAGGGTACCCAGAAGTCACCTACTACAGGACAGGCCCAACAAAGAAAGTAACAGAACGCCACTAGCCATCACCTTCAGCCCCCAACTAAAACCTCTCCAAAGCATCATCAAGGATCTACAACCTATCCTGAAGGACGACCCATCACTCTCACAGATCTTGGGAGACAGGCCAGTCCTTGCTTACAGACAGCCCCCCAACCTGAAGCAAATACTCACCAACAACCACACACCACACAACAGAACCACTAACCCAGGAACCTATCCTTGCAACAAAGCCCGTTGCCAACTGTGCCCACATATCTATTCAGGGGACATCATCATAGGGCCTAATCACATCAGCCACACTGTCAGAGGCTCGTTCACCTGCACATCCGCCAATGTGATATATGCCATCATGTGCCAGCAATGCCCCTCTGCCATGTACATTGGTCAAACTGGACAGTCTCTACGTAAAAGAATAAATGGACTCAAATCAGATGTCAAGAATTATAACATTCATAAACCAGTCGGAGAACACTTCAATCTCTCTGGTCACTCGATTTCTGATCTCCAAGTGAGTATCCTTCAACAAAAAAACTTCCAAAACAGACTCCAAGGAGAGACTGCTGAATTGGAATTAATTTGCAAATTGGATACAATTAACTTAGGCTTGAATAGAGACTGGCAGTGCTTGAGTCATTATACTAAGTGAAACTATTTTCCCTTGTTTATTTCCCCCCCGCCCACCCCCCACTGTTCCTCAGACATTCTTGTTAACTCCTGGAAATGGCCCACCTTGATTATCACTTCAAAAGGTTTTCTCTCCCCCCACCCCACTCTCCTGCTGGTAATAGCTCATCTTAAGTGATCACTCTCCTTACAATGTATATTTTTTCATGGTCTGTCTGTGTGTATATATAAAATCTCCTCATTGTACTTTCCACTTTATCCATCCGATGAAGTGAGCTGTAGCTCACGAAAGCTTATGCTCAAATAAATTGGTTAGTCTCTAAGGTGCCACAAGTACTCCTTTTCTCATTAAGTGGATAAAGCACTCTGCCTCAATTTTAGAGGCAGAGCTGGGTGCCAGATCTGCCAGGCAAATGCACTAAATATTTAGCTCCATACTGCAGTTTAAGCCTGTAAGAACTGAGAAAAATACCAGCATGTAATAAAGATAATTAACTCAACATGGTCAAAATACATTGGGGTGATAGTGATAGAAGAACAGAACAAGGCTTTCACTACAGAGAAAAAGAGGGTACAAGGAATAAATGCACCCAGGTACTTGTTAATAACCAGAACATCTGCTAGCTAAGAGCCGCATGCCAACGCCGAGAAGACTAGGTCTAGATCCGATGCCAGTGCCAGCCAGTTGCCTGGGCAAGTCAGAGATTTAGGTGGTGTGAAGGAAGCAGTCAGTCATTTTGCTGAGGACTCTGGCTCACGTTACATGGCTTTCATTCGGCACACACTAACTTTTTGTTCATGAGACTCGAAACTCTTTTAAGAGGAGAGTTTATTGATTTACAAGCTGTGATTTCTGAAAACCCTTCTCTGGGGTCGCTTCACCTAGGGACACTCTCCAGCCTCGCCAGTCTTTGACCAGTCCACAACGGACGTTGAATGAATCCAGAATTCCAGTGACATTAAAGACTCAACACCATGTGACCTCAGCCTGGCTTTGCACAGGACTGAGCAAACAGGGATGCAACCTGCAGAAACCGGCCTGTAAGTGCCAAGTAGGACTCTTGCCCATGACATTCCAACTGGCCTAGGAAATTAAGGGCTTAAATAGTAATGAACAACATAGAATCACAGAATCGTAGGACTGGAAGGGACCTTGAGAGGTCATCTAGTCAGTCCCCTGCACTCATGGCAGGACTAAGTATTATCTTCTAGACCATCCCTGACAGGTGTTTGTCCAACCTGCTCTTAATCTCCAATGATGGAGATTCCACAACCTCCCTAGGCAATTTATTCCAGTGCTTAACCACTCTGACAGTTAGGAAGTTTTTCCTAATGTCCAACCTAAACCGCCCTTGCTGCAGTTTAAGCCCATTGCGTCTTGTCCTATCCTCAGAGGTTGAGAACAATTTACCTCCCTCCTCCTTGTAACAAAAACTGTAATGTCTCCTCTCAGTCTTCTCTTCTCCAGACTGAAACAAACCCAGTTTTTTCAATCTTCCCTCATAGGTCATGTTTTCTAGACCTTTAATCATTTCTGTTGCTCTTCTCTAGACTTTCTCCAATTTGTCCACCTCTTTCTTGAAATGTGGCGCCCAGAACTGGACACAATACTCCAGTTGAGGCTTAATCAGCGTGGAGCAGAGTGGAAGAATTACTTTCCGTGTCTTGCTTACAACACTCCTTCTAATACATCCCAGAATCATGTTTGCTTTTTTTTGCAACAGTGTTACACTGTTGACTCATATTTAGCTTGTGATCCATTATGACCCCAAGATCCCTTTCCGCAGTACTCCTTCCTAGGCAGTCATTTCCCATTTTGTATGTGTGCAACTGATTGTTCCTTCCTAACTGGAGTACTTTGCATTTGTCCTTATTGAACATAGAAATGACAGCCCGAATCAAACTTATGCTCCATCTAGTCCAGCATGCTGGCTGCAAAACTGGC